GGAGCAGCTGGAGCAGAACAAAGCACCTCAAATTCAAGTTGTGTGGTTTTAGTTGAAAAGGTATTTCTGCAGAACTGGGTTTGTCTGGATGACATTTCAAGTAACTCCCATGGGCAATCAAATCCAAAACTCTTAAGTGTTTTTGTGCTTTTGAGTTTTGTACAACAACTAGTTCAAAGCTCAGCTCAGGAATTCTGAAGCTGATTTAACATAGGGGCCTTATCCACCGAACAGGTTACAGTGCATGTTGGTGCAGCAGTTCTTTGTGTTGGCACCAAGACAAACCCAGACCCAAGACCTCAAAACCAAAGTTGTCCCAGCCTCAGTTTTCTGTTGGACTACAGGAAAGAACCACCTTTGTCAGGAACTAAGGGTGGAGACTATGAAACATTATAGCTGACTCAGTTCTTTAACTCTGTTTGTCTTAGTGTGGGGCAATAAAATAATTACAATATTTATGGAGAATCAGAAAATGTCAAAAATAAAAGGTGAATTTTAAAATTCAAGATGACAGACGATAGATGTGGCCTAAGAGGCAGCGTGCAGGCCTGTTTAGTAAAGTTGAAATTAGGAAAAGAATGTCAGATTTCCGACTTGGAAAATTGATGGTATTTCATAACCTCTGACCTCAACATCTAATAAAGTTGATGTGTGCGTACCATGTAGTAGTAGTACTGTTTACTGCTACTTGGTATCTAAATGAAGGGCACATTTTAGAAAGTGTGTGCTGCTTCAGTGCATGACTGGATAAAATGCAAAGAAATATCACTGACATACATACTTTGGCTACTAACAGTAGTTAGTCTGCTCATGTAGCAAAAGTTAGCAGATCCCATTGATTTTCTAAGTTGCAACAAGCGTCAAGTCAGATGTGATGTCATTCTTAGATGCACTTCAAAGGTATAGGAGCAACTGAGGTTTGATGCATGTTAGCATTAGAAACAGCCTGGTTCTGTCTAAGCAGCCAATAATAAAACCAAAAGAGTAAAGATGCAAAGTCCGTTGCATATAGCAACATTCACCTTCTGATCAGGAAGAGGGCTCAGTGATGTTTGCAGCCCTGCTGAAAACGTGTCAGTCAGGACACATGCTGGATTGCTTTCAAAAACATCAACAATATGGGCCACTGTAACCTTTATTGTCATGTATACTGTAACTCAGATTTTTCTGTTCTAGATAGTATTATGGTGTGTGTGCATACTTATTTTCATAGCCTGGCCTGATTGCGCAGAAGGCTCTGTTTATGTCTCAGGAACTGCTAGGCCAGAATGTGACCACAGGAGCCACAAACCTGTCAGATGACTACCTGCTATCATGAATATTTGGGTCTTCTAATGGGTTTCTCAACAGGAAATAATCTTAATGGCACGTAGTAATGACATTGGATCAGTTTTCATTGCTTGCTGTGAAAAAATGTCATATTAGATATGTAAATCGGTAAGGCTTGTTTATGAACGACAGAAGCTGCATCATCACGCAAGACTCAACCATAACCAACACTATCTACCTCATCAGTAGCAGCTTATTGTTATACTGTTGTAGTAACAGATAACATCACTTTAATTCGTTCAGATCCATTCCGTAAACCGAACAGATGGAAAATCATCTCAAATAAGCTGCGCGAAAATAAACATAAAAATCCAAAAGAATAAAACAAGAGTATGGCGGTTAGAAATAAATACGAGGCGGAGACTCGGCCACGATGTTTTTAGCATCAAGCATCAGATCCTGATGTGTTCTGACCTAATTAGACAGCTAGCCAACTAGCCTAGCGCGCGTGAAGCCTTACAGCAGCTACAGGCAGAGGACTTCGGCCGGCCAAATCTAGCTTAAAAATGTACACAATTTTGAGTTATCAGTCTTATTAGGAACAGCTAACTGACAAGTCAAATGATGATACTATCTGTATATAATTAGAGATAGCCAACCTTACAATTCGGCCTCAATGTTATCCGTATAACCACAAACAGATGAATGAAAATGTTGAATTTGTAGCTGCTTCGCAGTTCAGCTCCATTAGCCCGACGCACCAAAACACAACGTGGCGTTTCGTAGAGAATGGTGAAAAAAGAAACAAAAGTTTTAAATTCTTGGTTAAATAATATCTAACAGCATGAGATACACACGACGAATATTAGCTTTTGGTTAACTTAATATTTAAGTTGTTGTGTTTTGTTTCATAAACTCAATATTGACTTATTTACAGGCGAAAGCCTTCAATTACTGTGTTTTTAAGCTAGAATGATGTAGGAGTCCTTGTGGAAAACAGAACCGTACTTAGCATACCACCGAAGTACCTAATCGTTAAATGTATGGTTATAAAATAACATGTTTGAATTGCAATGAACCAAGCTACCTGTGAGGGAACGTGGACAAGTGTAAGGAGCTCTTGTCATCCAGCGGCAAGCTCCAGCCTCCCGTCCGAGCCGCTTGCACTTCGGTTGGCGGGACTCGAGCAACGGGATGTAGTCGGTCCAAGGCTTAAGGAAGGAGGAGGGAGCACGGCAGGTTGGGCTGTGATGATTTCCAAGCACAAGCTGATACGACACCGTAACACTGTGGAGGTGTCGTTACTAAAGCAATAGTGGGAGGCTGGAAGGGTTCCACCGTGTTTACCACCTGCTGGGATGAGCTTGTGGATCCTGAAAGGTCCATCCACCTTTAGTTGTTAAAGATGAATTTGAGTGTAAAATAAAGATACAATTACAGAGTCCTGTTCAATGATGCACAAATGAACAGTTTAATCTTTAAGTTATCCTACATGTGCTATCAAAAGTTTAAACCTAAATTAAATTGGATATTTCAGGTTATGATTAGATGTTTTAAAGAATGAATTTGAACAATTCCTCTTCATGCTGGTGTGAATATGATCACAACATACAATTTAAATGATCGCCTGGCCACAGGTGTGAAACAAGTGGTTTCATTCTGTACTTAACAGAGTGTTAAAATGTCACATCCCATATAAAATATACTTCATATATCCTTAGTATTTTTGTTGAATGTAAAAAAAAAGTTGCACCTCAACCACATTAGTTTAACTTCAATTAAAAAATACTTTATTTTCATCCCAAAGGGAAATTAAATGTTCTTGTAACTGATGACTGTGGAAGAGTCATCATGGATGGTGATGCTGTGGACAATAAGAATCTCCACTTCCAGTCATTTCTGGAACAAATCTGAAGAAACCTCTGATTGAAGACAGTGTCTCATGACAGTCAAGACATGCTAACAGGTCAATATCTAGGAACACAGACAATATTGCACAGCAACATGTCCTGGATGAAACCAGCAGTTGTTGGCAGCTCTCCTAAACCACCTTATTTGCTTTTGATACTGTTCTTTAAATCTCTGGCTGTACAGTCAGACAGCCGAGCACAGATACTCTGGAGTCAGGGTTCTTTTATTGCCAGGTTGCCGTTATTATTAGTAAAATTGTTATTATAAAATAGAAAGCTCTCCGAGTAAAAATATATTGAAGTAGTGATATTCGTAACCGAGTAGAGGTTTTGAGTACTCTACCCACCTCTGGATCTGATTAAGGTTCTTGTTAAGTAATTTTATGCTGGTGCTTTGCCGTTTAAATGGAATAGAATTCATCAGCCATAGTTTCTGCAAAAACTAACATTATTTTAATAACCTACAACGTAAATTGATACATGAAAAAGACTTTATTGGGCAGTCTGTATGACAAAGGCACAGGTGGTAGAGGAGTAATTAAAAAAAAAGCTTGGTAACAATGGCTAAACGTAGAACATTAACTAGAAAACAGCGCTAAACACAACAAAGGCAGAGAAAAAAATTACATCATCATTACATCTACAGTGTTTCCAACTGAGGAACACAAGGTTGATATTTTAGCGTGTACCTTGAAATTCATGATTGATTCCAACAAGTGTGAATACTCAGGTAGAAACCGACAAACAGACCCACTTGGTGCTCAACGCATTGGAAAAACCACACATTTAAGCAGGTTATTAGCCATGCCATTTACTCCTTATGGTAAATTAGCCACAACTGTTATTAAAGGAAGTAAATAGATTCACCTCATTTTTATGTATTGCACATTTGCTTCCCCTATTGTTTTTCATTTGCAAATAAAATTACAAAGAGGAAGACCAAAAGAGTTTTATAGTGCATCTCTGCTTAAATGAAATTGCCTAGAAATTAAAAGGATCTCAAAAAAACAGTTTAAGCAGAAGAACCTTGAAGTTAAAAGTGCTGAGATGTGAGGCGGGAACAAATCGTGATATTGTTCCACAGTTCCACTGTGGGCCTCCACTCCATCCTGCCATGAATTGCAGTTTTTCCAGGGATAAAACACATGCCTCCTAAATAAAATCTGAACTAATAGCATGTGTATTTGACTCACCTCTATTAAAAATAGGCAGGACATAAAAATACACTAGAAAAATACACAGACAAACTAGCAAATGGCTCTAAATTATGGAACAGAAAGAAAAAATGCTTATTGAGAGCAATAAAAAGGGGTGAAGACAGTAATTAGTGGGAAACAAACCTTCATTTTACTACGTTTGTCAGTGTAAATGTAAGGTTTTTGTTACTAGTGAAATCACTAGTAACAAAATGAGTAAAAATCCTGTCAAATGTTTGACAGGATTTTTACTCATTTTTCCTAATATATAACCATTTATACATTTGTTTTTTTTTTGTTTTGTTTTTTCAGTTATCTCTGTTACCTAAGTAAATGAATCTATTTAAAATACATTTTGAAACATCATTAATAGTGATTAGTTTTAAGCGAATCTAACTGCAGCTAAGCTCTGATATAGTTTTGCTGATTCTGAGCCATTTGTCTGTTTACAGTATTTCTAAGTCACAGATGTAGATGGTGTCGGAAGATTAGTAAAGCTTTCACACCAATATGATTCACTCGATTCTTAAAAATGAACCTACATACAAACACAACCTTGAACTCATTTCTTGTAACATTTCCTCTAACTTATCCTGACAAGCATATTGGTAACAGCAGGACCAATAATCAGACCGTCATACAGCTAAACATGAGTCAGGATCAAATCTTTTATCAGACAAAAACCTGGAGCCAAAGGAGGAATAAATGGGACTTTTTCTGGAACAAATGACCGACAGCAGCACTGATACAAATGATACATTATTCTTCACTGAATTACAGGTAACTTAACTGTTGAATTAAACTGGGCTCCTCTCCAGTAACATGGTATGAAACCTGAATCAACTATTTTCCATTTCAGATTTAAAAAGAAGACAAAAAGGAGCCAACTAGAGAATGGTAAAGCTATACGGTTCTCTGCAACTGTTTAATCAGTTTCCTTTTACTTTTTGATTAGTTTAATTGTGAACTGTCAAAATCAGCCCACTTCTCGAGAGTGGGAGCTCCTAATGATGTCAAAACCCAAACAGACTAACTGTTGTGGAGCACAGAATTTTCTAAGGTGAAGTCATACTGGAAACTAGCCAGGTTGTAGTTTACGTCTCTGGACAGCAGGACATCTGGGACCACGCTGGACCCGGCCTGCATGGCCAGGACATGAGGAGCTAACGTGAAGGGGACGTCTCCGAGAAGATCCGGCAGCGCTGAAGTGACTTCCGCAGACTGAAGGCCGCCTGCTGGTCCCACATCAGGTAAAACTGGAGGTGGATTTGCATCAGCTGTTTGAGATGGAGCTGGATAGGGTAACTGTGAGGTAAAACGGGCATGTTTACTTTTCTATTCACATCCAGTGTACAGAAAAGTCAGACAGATATGCAATGATCCAAAAACTGTATTTGCATCTTAGTTTGGCAGTTTAACACAACGGAAATAATATTCTGTTTGTTTGATGAAGATAAATTCAACATTTGATAGCACTCATTTACAAAGGCTCGACATAGATCTCAATGCTATCTACAGCATGATAACTATAGAAACTATCATGATGCAGCCGGCAGCCTCTCTCTGTGGGTGATTTACTGTTTTGCCAAACATACTCTGTGGAAATTTGCCTTAAAGGTTTTAGCTTGGTAGATTTTATCAAGGATCGGAGGCTTCGATATCGCTACGTGTCAGACTAACGGCTAGCTGCTAACAACACTAGCATTGTCATCTTTGAAATCAACCAAATCAACATATTTTACCAGAATAAATAGCTATTTTGCATTTTTGAGAACAATAATGACTGAATTTGGTTGTGCCAAGTTATAGAATATTCTTACATTCAATATGTTAACAAACCTGGAAGGGATCATTCTACACCAAGCAGTTTCTTTAAAACAGTTTGAGAAATGTCTTTCTTATACAATGAGATTATTTTAAACTCTTTTGGCTTCCAAACCACCTTAGAATTTTCCAGGCATAAAAATGTAATTTGGACTGAAATTCCTTAATACACTGAGCACAAGCAGAACCTATTTTTTTTTTATATCAGAACATAAATTGGTTTCCAAACTTAAAATATTACTTTATATGAGGAATTACCTAAAATATGTGGAGGACATAATTGTATGAGTTAAATTTACCATTTAACATATGAGCTGTAGACTGTTTTAAAGTGAACAAAAATAAAACTATCCCATGGATATTTGTTGTATTATTTGGTGTATAATTTGAAAATGGTTGTGATTTTTCACCTTGGATATGAAATGGGGCAATAAGAGCTCCCAAGTTTCGCCCCTTGGGATCGAGCACATGGACTATCAGATTTATTTTGATTTGTAACATTTTTATAAATTAATCATGATTAAAAGGATTTCACTTTGATTGAAGCTACATTTCTACTGCATGATTGTTGGAACTGATGTCTGTCCCTGTCTCAGGTTACTCTCAGACTCAAAGCAGAGTGAAGGTAGAACCGCAGTGAGTTTTCTTCACATCAGCTCAATGACCCAGAGCATCAACGGATCGGCTCAGAAAAGTAATTTTATGATTCAGTTAACCTAGAAAAACCCGGTTACTGCTCCCACCACACAACTGACTGCATCAGCCTGACAGGATACACAGAGCCTGAGAGAAACAGGTGGCAGAACCACAGAATGTGATCAGCTGTGCAAGCGGAACAAAGGAATCGTCTCCATCGTAAATGAAGATGCCATGGTCACTCGAATAACTGCCGTCAAAATCCCAAAGTTACCATAACAGTGACAAACTGACCAAAATGACTTTACCGTGACTGTAAAACTGAGGTACAAACCCGGCCCCGAGTCTCAGAGGAACAACTGAACAGCAGTGCAAACCTCCACAAGCTCACCTTTGATGGTTGGACTATGACATTTGTAGAAGGCTGTCCAGTGTTTACAGTTTTAACCCTCTGCCTTTGTTCTTCAGTGGTCTCTCCTGCAGACCAAAGAAAAGATGCAGAAAAAACACTGGAATAAATGTATTTCTGTCATGTCATCTGAGAAAGTGAAACAGTCATTTTATAAAGATTTGTTACACAGAATAAAATATTTTCAATTTCAATATCTCATAACAATAGAGTATCACAGTAAGCCAATCAAAAACAGATGTTTTAAACACAAATGTCAGGTTTCTGAAAAGTATATGTACTTCTCTATGGTTGGGCTCCTCTCCCATGTACTTTTGCTTTAAGTTACAATAAATTATCTAGTTGCTTTTAATGAGGAGAATATATTGTACAGCAATAAACATGACGTTTAGATGAAGTAAAAGAGCTATTATATGGTCTAACGGAACTCAATATAATCACTGCAAGACAGGACATTCGTCAGAGGCTGTTCCTGGACGCTTTCAATCGATGTTTGTTTGTTTTTTTTTTTTATTACATTTTGGTAAGAGTCAACTTTTAACAGACTTTAACGTGACCTCGAGGGAGAAAACTCATCCTAAAATTTGAGATTACAAAATGCTCCCGTCTTGGTCCCTTTCTAAAGTTATATTTTCATCTGTCCTATGAAATATGTTTTGACACACAGACTGTAAGGTCATCGGATCTGAACCTTTATTGTAATTTTATGCTACGTGAATAAGCCGAACAGAACTTCTATAATAAATACAACACCGACTGTGACTGACCCAAAAACCCCTGTCTGGATTCACTCCTAGCAGCTGCAATCTGCCTTTACCACAAACTAAACATTCTTCTTACCAACAATGACGAAGCCTCCATCCGCTTCCTTGTCAGATGTTGACTTCTTGGCGTCCTTCCGTAGTCCCAAAAACTGAAGCATGGTTTCCTTTAATCGACAAAAGACAAAATAATTTAGTCTTAAACGCTACATCAACTGAAGACAGCTTTACACAGTTAATGATACCAGTGTAAAGGCTTAACTTCTCCCGGTCGTTTTAATGTTTTCGTAATGTCGCCCTTACTGTTGAGCCTCCTGAAGTCGACAGAGCGCTGACAGTCAATTCATCATGGCTCCTCTGAACGTTAACTTCTTTAAGAGCTCTAATATTATTCTTCCTTGGCGTGAAGCTATCGACTCTACAGATCGAACTACCTTCCGTCAGCACTTTCTGCAATAACCTCCGTGAAGTGTTATTTTGGTTCTATGGCTAACTTCTACCTGCTCCGTTTGTCGAAGGGAAACTAATAACAACACCTGTAGTTCTGTTACAAATGAATCTGTTCGAGACATTCAGCGGAACTGTTTATTGTTTCTAGGGATTCAGATCCTGGAACACAACGGATGTGTCGTAAAAATGGTTGGGAGCGCTCGTTTTAGTCAACATGTAAACGTTTACTAAGAGCCTCTTCAGGGCACTCAATACTCAATGTAGACGCACCGCCCGCGCGGGCTAACGTAGCACAAAATACAAGCAACGCGAAACTTCCCGCGACTTCTTGTCTCATCTCCTCAGTGAACAACGTCGCAGCAGCAACCCGCGAAAATGGCAGGCATACTGGACGTTCCAAAACCGAGAATAAACTGCTCCATGCTGTCTCAGTTCATCAACCGAGCCGTCTGCTTCATCGGGCGTGTTGAAAAGGTCAGAGTGGTGTGCAATACAATGAGTGAAACTGGGGTTTCACACAGTTAGAGGTGTAGACAACGTTCGTGCATTTTAATGTCTAACACTGAGGCTGCGTTCTGCTTTAGGTTCACCCTACTGGGAAAATGTTCACTGTGATGGATGGAGAGGGAAAGACTGCAACAGTGGAACTAAATGAACCTGTAAGTACATCTCAAACATTCATGCTGTTTAAATGCAGGGGCCTTAATGTAAACTGAAGTGAAATATTTTAAATACATGTTGTAATTAGTTGCTAAGTATAGTCATTTCACTGCTTATTATTTATTTTGGATTAACCCTGTAATAAAATCTGGAGAATGAACCACGTAGTAGTTGATGTTTATGGAGGTTAATTTTTCTCCTGCTCTTTGTCTCTTCATTATTGTTGTGGCCTGTCTAATATGCTGCTCGAACCAGATGTAATTTGTCTTAAACATTTCAGTAAAGTCGAATGTGAAATAAGAGGGATAACTTGTTTTTCCCCTAATCTAGAGGAAATCTGATGCATACAACTACACAAACTGGCACAAGTCTCAAACAAAACTTATTTTTGAGAAAGACCATTCAGATTCCTAGACACAAGTCTGTATGAGACAAAGACACTTAGCTGGCAAATTATATTATTGCATCACCTTTATCGGATAAAACTAGTGCTTCTCAATGCCACAAGAGAAAAAGGTTTCTTTCCCTGATGTGCTTTACCTCTGCACTCCACCACTCCTGACAATTGATGATTTAAAGTGACATTCTATGTATGGAAATAATTTGACTATGACTCTAATAAAAACTATCCAACATCTACCAGCAGGAGGCCCCCCAAAGGTATGCTGGATACATTATCCAGCATACCTTTGGGAGGCCTCCTGCTGGTAGATGTTGGATAGTTTTTCAGGGGTTGCAATCTCACTTTTTTAAGTCAGTATTGATTCCAATCAAGAATCAATACCAGAATAGATGGAAATATTTTGTGAATTTTTAATCACTTATCATTGAAGCTCATTATAAAAGCCTAAATATTCAACCAACAACTAATGCTTAGATATATGGATATCAAATGGTTTGTTTATAACAAGGTGTAAAATGAAAGGTCAAAGAATGAGTGGCACTTTAACCTAGATATTCATTTCTTTTTCAGGTTGAAGAGGAGCTGAGTGGAATTGTGGAGGTTATAGGAATGGTGTCGAACAAAGGAGAAATAATGGCCAGCACATACAACCTGCTGAGAGAGGACAAGGGGGTTCCCTTTGGTACGGTGTTCTATCAGATCAGCATACGTTGTCAGATAGTCATAGCTTAGCTCAGACATGTATACGCTGTCATTACCATATGATTTTATTTAATCAGCAACATAGAATGATGATGTAGATCATCATACACTTTGTTATTAACAGTTGTATGGCATCCTGACTTAGCGGTTAAGTAGGTTAATGAGTTTTACACAGGCGTGTGTTGTAGTTGACTGCAGCTGCAGCTAGACCCTGCTTTAAATACACTTTGAAACCACGACAACCCATGTATATCTATCTAGTTATCATATTATAAAACATTTAATGACTTATTTTCGTCATAACTTGTTGCCTCTGCTGAACTGACAACTCCACTGACGGTCGGACTTCTTAATGCGCATGCGCGGGCATGCGTACTCACTGCATGTATGCTATCCTGACAGCGTATGGCTATCTGATAGAACAATGGCTCTCAGTGAGTGACACTCCAGTCCTATCTAATAAGTAAAGAGAGGAGCAGATGAATCGTACTGTTCCTGAATGTCACATTACTATATTACAGACTTTTGGACACAGCATTGTCCCATATATGCGACAAGTCAGTCAACACCTC